CCGGTCACTTTGCCCACCCGCGAGCCCAGGCTCAGCTCCCCAGGGTCTGCTTGCCGTGAAGTGCGCGCGGGAAGTACCCAGGCTGGTGACAGATGAAGGCCACCAGACTGGCCCAGCACATAGCGGGGACGGCGGCACTTCCTAGGGAAGCCTCAGCTTTCCGGGAGCCTCGGCCTTGGAGCACGAAGGGGCCCCAAGTGAAAGTGTCGCTGGCAGCAGGGAGTCACAGAAGTGGTTAGGCAGGTTTCAGGGACAGCCAAGCTCCTGTCTGGGCCCACTAAGCAGGTAGCCGCCAGCAGATTTTCAGTGGGAGGCTGACGTCACCAGAACAATTGCAAAAATGTGTATTTTATTTGACAAACACTTGGCACTGAGTGCCAGGCATTGTTCCCGGTGCCTGATAAATGCTCCCTCAGGCCTGAAAGCAACCCCATGCGGTAGGAGCCGTCCCTTCCCTTCTCACCAGCTGTCACCCAGGAGACCCCAACTCAGGGTAACCCTGGGGTGTCCCAGACCTGTGCGTCACAGGGTCTTCCGTGGCTGTAACTTTCCCAGTCAGGTCACCAGGCTGTGCTTGCTTCAGAGGTGCCTCTGGGCAGACTCAGACCTACCCCCACCCCCACCCCCACCCCACTTCAGTTGGCCAACAGTCTGGAGAGCTCATGTAACTCGTTTGAAGTCGTAAAGCCTGGATGTGGGAGGGCTGGGGTTGAACCCGAGACTGGTGGGGGGCCCTACCTTTCCATGTGGTTGCAGGTGGGGAGATGCTCAGAAGACCCAGGTCTCAGATGAAGAAGCTAAGGCAGGTGGAGGCCAGCCAGAGGGGTGTATATCTCAGTGGCTCCAAGTATATCTCAGAGCCTGGGGAGGGCTCGGCCTGGCAGCTGGGGTTGGCACGGGGGCGTGGGGGTGACGTGGAGGTGTTGTCTTGCCCCTCTCCCTGGTGGGACCTTTGTCCGGATCTCTCACAGGTGCCAAGAAGTGGCTGGAGTGGAGAAAAGAAATCGAGCTGCTCTCCGACCTAGCCTACTTCAGCCTCACCACACTGGCAGGTATAGTGCCCGCAGGCCCTTGCGCTGAGGGACTCGGAGTGGGTGAGCAGAAGGGTGTGCAGGAGTAGCCGGGGTCTCCCCAGACCCAAGACACACAGTTGTCCTGTAGGGGCCACATGCCCCCAGTCAGCACTCACTATGGGCCCCCAGTGAGCCCCGCCATCGGGGCAGCCACCAGTGGAGAGGCTTGAGAAGACCAGCAAGGCGGGCAAGTGGCTGAAAGAGGGGCTTGGAGGCTACAGAGAGGGCAGAGGTGGCAGGCTTTGGGGGGCAGCTTTGTGGGGACCTGGCTGCTGCTCCTGGAGAAATGGGTGTTACGGCCTAACAAACCCAAGGCAGAGTGACCACTGATCACAATGAGGCCAAGGGGGAGAGGCCGAGGCCACGTGGTCTGGGGGGCGGGGGGGCAGAATGAGGCTGAGGCCTTCACCCCTCCCCTGCAGGCTACCAGACCCTGGGCGAGGAGTACGTGGGCCTAGTCCAGGTGGACCCGTCCCGGCGCCAGGTGCCCTCGTGGCTCCGCCGCAGCCTGCTGGTCACGCTGCACACAGTCCTGCCCTACGTGCTGGACAAGGCGCTGCTCCACCTGGAACATGAGCTGCAAGCCGATGGTAGCGGAGGCTCGGTGGCGCGAGGTCGCTCCGGCGTGAGGCTCTGGCTGCACCAGCGTGCCAGCCACCTGAACGAGCAGCAGCGGAGGACACTCCTGCAGGGGCTGCACGTCTGCTCACGTGGCCTCGCCTACCTACGGCGGCTGCATGTCGCCTGCTTCTACATCAGCGGGGTCTTCTACCACCTTGCCAAGAGGCTCACCCACGTCACTTACGTAAGTGCGGCCAGGCCACCTGTGGCTGAGACACATGGTTTGGCTCTTCTCAGTGGGGCTGGCTGGGGCCCAGACCTCTGCTTGGGAAACAGTGGTCTGTGGTTAGCATTTGTAAAAGACATAGAAAGCCCGGTATCCGAGCCCTGCCCAGTGGAGTGGCCACTCTCCTGTCAGGGACACTGTGCCTTGGGGAAGCCCTGGGCCCTCCCTTCCCCAGGGAGCCCTGCACACAAGCTGGGGCTGGTCCAGCCGCAGCTTGGGGGTGCTGCTCCGGGTAGCAGCTTGTCTCCGAGCCCAGCCACACTGCTGTGCCCCGACTGTATCCAGCACCAAGCTGTCCTGCTAGGGGTGGGGCCAGTCCTCGGGCCCTGAGCCCCTCTCTCACCTGGCCCTCCCTCAGCTCGCCACCTTGTCCTTGTTCTCAAGAATGGCTTCCTTCCTGGGGGGAAACCTGGGGAATAACTTTTCTGTTCCCCACAGCCTCTGGCACTGGGATGGTTAAGGGGCAGTCCCGAGACGTCACTTCTGAACCACTCCCCAGCAGCCACCCTGGGCCTCGTGGGGGGCCGTCCTCTCTCGGAGAGCAGGGTCCGCCCTGTTGAGCTGCTCCCAGCCCCAGGAGAAGAGCTGTCTGGGAGGCGCTCACACCAGCGTGGTTAGGTGGTCGTTGGGGACAGGGAGGTGGAGGCTGAAGACAGGCGGCCCTGCCTTCTGGGGTCCTGACAAGCCATCTCCCTTGCCCAGCTTCGCACACACCACCTGCCACCTGGAGAGGAGCTCAAGGCCCGCGCCTCCTACCAGCTGCTGGGGGCCGTCTCACTGCTGCACCTGGCGCTCTCCATCGGGGTCCAGCTGTACAGCTTCAAGCAGAGGCAGCGGGCAAGGAAGGAGTGGAGGCTGCACCGGCACCTGTCCTACCGCAGGTACGCAGTGGACGGGGCCGAGCTGGCTGAGGAATGGCGCTCATCTCCGATCTGCTCCCCCAGGAGCCACGCAGAGGAGCGGGCTGGCCCCAGACATGCCCTGTGCACACTGTGCCTGCAGGAGCGCCGGCACGCCACGGCCACACCCTGTGGGCACCTCTTCTGCTGGGAGTGCATCACCGAGTGGAGCAACACCAAGGTGGGCATGGCAGGTGGGGTGCAGCAGGCCCCTGGATGCCACCTCTGAACGCCCACTGAGTGGGGGACATGACTGGGCACCCCTGGAGTTGGCTGAAGCCAAGCTGCTGCAGAAGCTGGCACAGTGGTCCTTTCCCCACAGACCAGTGTGTCTGGGCAGCCACACACCAGCCCTCACCACCTGTGTGTCCTTAGTGCCCACATAGGGCCCTGCCCACACACACACACCCAGTGGGCCCAGGCACCTCACCTGCTATGGTGGTACAGGCAGAGGTCACCACATGTGCTCTCTGGAAGGACCCCGGTGCTTCTGAGGGTCCCGCTGTCTGAGCAGTCCTGGGCATGTCATGTGACTGCGGCAGACCCACACAAGCAGGATGATGTCTTCCCAGTCGGACCCGGTACAACCACTGTCAGGCCCACTGAACCTGGAGCTCTCAGCTGTGATGCAACAAGCCCATCTGGGGTCTGCAGGCCAGTTGGCTCTCAGAACCCCCTTCTGTCCAAGTCGACCGTCCCCAGCAGGCAAGGCCTGTCCTCCATGATAGCTGCCTGGGGCCAGCACGTGTCCTCACCTGGAGGTGGCGGTAACAGAGAGGTTGGTCCTCACACCCATCGCCCACTGCCCTGCCCTAGGCTGAAATGGAAGGAAGCAGGCACCCACTCGGGCAGTGGACCAGAGTGGGGAGACAGGGGTTCCTCAGGTTGGTATGAACCCAACCCGGGTATGGTGAGGGCGGGGTGCCGCTAAGAGCAGCCGTGGCCTTTCTCCTACAGACGGAGTGCCCCCTCTGCAGGGAGAAGTTCCTACCCCAGAAGCTGGTCTACCTGCGGCACTACCGCTAGTCCTGGGCTCTGCACAGCCAGCCAGAGGGAGAAGCACTCTGCACCAGCCGCCCTCACAGGCCCTCGAGCCCCGAGCCCCTGCGGCAGAGCCTGGTGCAGCAGACAGCCTCGGCTGCAGACTGGGACCCAGCAAGGCGCAGCAGCGGTCCACATTTAAAGTTTCTTTTCAGGCTTTGCACTGGTTTGGATAGTCTTAGGTTTCCTTTTCTTCCTCAAAAGTTCATTAGCAGGAACTTAGCCAGAGCCGGAATGTAGTCCCTTTGGAGGACAAGTGGGCTCCGGCTAGTGACTGTGCACACAGGAGCCAGTGCCTGCTCCAGACCATGTGGGTGGGTGGGCAGGGCTCTGAGTGGGTCTCCATCAGCAGCCAAGCCAAGCCTGCACCTGGCAAGACCTAACCTCGTGGTTCCTGTTTGGGCTAGCATGGTCAGCTAGAGGGGAGTGGGGCAGGGGTGGGGGTGGGGTCCCATCTGGGGCTGGCAGCTTGAGGAGGGGGTTAGTTTTCATGGCAATGCACCACACTCAGCTGCCTCTGGATGCGCCGAGGACTGAGGAGAGGTTGCCATGCGAACTAGTACTCAGCAGAGGCCCTGGGGAGCCGGCAGCACCTTCCCAGCAGGCTCTATGGCAGGCCAGCACCTCTCTACCCCTATACACACTTGTTTTCTCTGTTGTGCCTATGTACCTACTGGTCTTCTAAGTGTCCTTTGTGCCTGAGGTGAGGCTTCACTACAAAAGGTGGCACGGTGTTAAGGTCAGGTGAGCCGGAGGTTTCGGAAGCGGCTGGTGCAGTCCCGCCCCAGCAGTGGGCCTGCCTCGAGCTGGGAGCTGGCTTCAGATGAAGGCTTCCATCAGCCAGTCCTGGTTTCTAATGGGGCAGGACCCAGCTGTCAGGCCCAGAACGATACCCATGCTCCTCAGTTAATAAAGGCCAGCGTGCCCGAGACAGGCCACTGCTAACTGCCTCTGCACGAAGCAGCAGCCCAGGGCCCTGGGGGAGGGCCAGACCAGTCGCTGAGGCCACCCTGACACCCCCGCATGCTCTCCTCACATTGGAGGCCTGAGCATTTACTAGCACTGTGGTGAGGGAAGTGCTTCTACACTCTTCTGGAGGAAAAGACGCCCTCGTGTGAGCATCACGGCACCTACAGGCTGGTTTTCCGTGAGCTCAGCAGGGGTCAGGGGTCTAGTGCCCCAGAGGCGCTCCAGGGAGAGCTGGCTGTTAGCAGCCAGCATTCTCAAGTGGCAAGCGGAAGGAAGGGGATGGCTGGCAGCCCAGCCCACAGCCAAGCAGATGCAGATTCCCACAGCTGTCTGGCAGTGCCAGGAGGGAGCTCTCCTCTCACCCCGACCCCCACACCAGGCTGTTTCAGAGACAGACTAACACAGGAAAGGGGACACTGGCTTTAATAAAGTTGGATTAAAAAGTCACTTAGTAAAAGGTTTTAAGCGCTTGTTTGCTTTTTTTATCACATGAAAAAGTTGACATGCAGGTCCGAGTTCTGGCTCCCACCCCTGTAGAAAACCCACAGAACCCACGTGACTTTCCCGGTCTTGTCGGTTCCTTAAAGGGGCTGCTGTTGTGGGGAAAACAAATTTAAATTAATCCAAAAAAACAACTTTACATATTAAAGAAGTATGTCAAAATAATCTCAAACGATTAAAATATAGAATCTCTCTGTGTCGCTCTGAAGCCCTCCAGATCAGAACAGGCTGAGTCATCACATCGGAGGCCGGTGGGACACAGGGGTGAGGTGGGGCTGGAAGCTGGCAGGAAACCCAGAGACTGGGAGTCCTCTGTAACTGGCGAGGCTCCTCCAGACAAGCGACATCAGGCGAGGTCACCCTCTTGCAGGGTCTGACGTGGCCCGGGGTGTGCAGACCCTGCCTGCAGGTGTCCTGGAGAGCGAGGGTCCTTCACGCTGGCTGCGCCGTCCCCCAGCTCCCAGCCTTGCAGGGTGACCAGAACTTCAATGAGGCTGCCGCCACCCCCCCTCCCCATGGTCCCTTGCCCCGGGCTTCGTAGGGCTCAAGCCGCTTCAGAATACTTGAACGTCACTGAAAGATACATCGATGCAGTTTGGTTTAAATGCCAGTTTCTTCCAGAACCTGATCGATCTGATACAAATAATTGAAGCTCCTTTTTAGAAAGAAAATTCGACTTCCTCATAATCAACTACTTTATGTGAAGAAAAAAGGCATTGTTACAATGGCTCAAAACCATTCTTGAGAGATGGGTTATGGAGTCAGTCCGCCTTCTAACTAGCAAATGTCTTGCCCACGTCCTCCTTCCCCTTGTATTTCCTCTTGCCATGGGTGAACGGGATGTACCGGTACTTGATCATGTGCTGGGAAGAGAAACACATGCCGAATCGTTTACAGGTGGCTCTCAAAAATCCATTTCCCAAAACCTGACCTAGCGAAGGGACCCACTTCTCCCTAACAGGCAGATGGTAGAGAGCCCACTTGCCCACACTGACATCTCCACTGGGCACAGGTGTCAGGCCTAGCTCGTGTGCATACAGGCCAGATGGGCGGGGGACAGGTGAGATGGCTCGGGGCCCTGACGGAGTGAGGGGGTAGGCAGGCACCTGAGGAAGCAGGGCTGCACAGGCCCCACAACTCTGACGTGACAGCCTCAGAACTGGGGCCTCAGGGTCGATGGCCTTCCGGGGGCACTGTGAACATCTGAAGACTGACCCAGCAGAACTAAAGCTTGATAACCAACTGCGAGGTAAGTGCACAGAGCTTCACCTGGCCGCTCGTGCTGGCTGAGTGCTCGGAGCAGGCCCTGGGGTCCTCCCACCCTCAAGCACCGCAGGCTGCTCTCATCCCCACCCTAAGGCACCCACAGACCACAGCCACACCCCTGTCTCAAAACACCCCAGGGGTCATGGATTCAATTGTGTTCCCTAGAAATCTGTGTCGACTTGGCTGGGCCATGGTTCTCGGAGGCTTGAAAGCTGAGATGATGTCACCATGCCCCATGACATCCTTAGGGGGGGCTAGGGTAGCGTGAGTGCACCACCCTACTGGGGACTTAGCCCTAACAGATATAAAGAGAGTGTCCTTGGGGTGGGGCCCATCACCACCTTTTATCTGACAAGACATAAAAGGAGAGAAGCATTTACAGAAGGAGGGCCCTAGGGCCCTAACCAAGCAGCAGTGGGAGTGGAACCAAGGTCCCTGTGCTAAGAACCTTACAGACTGCGGGGAGCAGGGGAGGGGCAGGGATTGATGCCAAGGCACATGGAGATCTCCCAGGGCATACAGCCCACAGATGCTGAAAGAAGACAAGGAATTTTCCCAAGGGCCGCTAAAGTAAGGCTTCCCCTAGAGCTGGTGCCCTGAATTCAGACTAACAAGCACAGCCCCCCGAGCTGTGGGAAGACATTTCTGTTCCAGCCATCCATGTGCATTCTCTCATTACAGCACTGCTAGATTAACTAAGATACCCCCCACCCGAAAACACTTCATAGGCTGTGTCACCCCTGTCCTGAAGTACTTCACAGACCATCACCCCCAATCGTAATGCACCTCACAGACTACAGCACCCCCCACAGTAAAGACCATCACCCCTCCCCCATCCTGAAGCACTTCCCAGACTGGAACTCGCCATCCTAATGCACCTCCCAGGCCGGCAACCCCTATCTGAAAACCGCACACAGTCCCAGTGCCCTGGTTACCTTGATCTGCCTCTTCATGGTGATGCAGAAGAGCATGATGAAGTACATCACCAGGATGGGCCAGAACACCGGCACGTTGAACGCCTCGAAGAACGTGCACACCATGGCGACCAGGATGCCCTTGGTGGCTGCGTGCCTGAGGAGAGGGGCAGGTTAGCATGGCCACGAGCCAGCCTCAGCCACAGCGAGCCAGCAGGCAGCTCTCAGAAAGATCCACCCCTAGAGGGACAGCACAGGACGGGCTGGTGTGAGCCGGCCACGGAACCCTCCCAGTGGCTCTACTGTGACCCAGAACCTATGTCAGTCACCATGACAGTCCACAGACCAACTGCTGTTCTCTGAGGCTCCTCAGCTCCTCTGTCCCATATCTACGTCCACCACCTCCAGAAGGGCAGTGCAGAATTCAGAGAAAGGGGAGGTGGGAGGGCTGTGGCCCAGACCCACACTGCAGCCCTGCCTGTCCGTCCACCAACTACCACCACGACCCCCCACTGCTGCACCACCATCCTGCTGCCGCGGCCCTAAAGCAGCTCCCCTCACCTGCGGCCAGTGACGAAGCCCAGGCTCTTCTTCCTCCAGAGCAAGGTGGGCTCCGTATCAGGCTGCCCGGCCCCGGGCCTCACGCTGAGCGCCTTCAGGACCTGCTTTCACTCTTCCTCCCACCCTCACCCTCTCCTAGCCACCAACCTGCTCTGGCACGTCACACTCCTCCCACAAAGACCACCAAGCGCCCACCCAAACAAAGAGCTGGCAGTGCCAACGTCAGGCTGAACTCGAGTTATTCCATCCCCTAACCAAGGAATGGGGGTTCTGTGGGCAGCGCAGGGCAGACCAAGGACGGACAGGCGGTCTGTGTGGTGTCCTTGGCCTAGAGGCACCACTCATCCTTTTCCACCTGCCAGGCTCACACAGCGTCTCAACTCCCACACCAGTGCCTGCACCCGTGTGCTGCTGCACAATCACCTCCCAGAGCCGTGCCCTTCACACAAAGCAGCCCCTCCCGAGGCTGCAGAGAGCGAGCGGCTCCCTGCTTGGGGCTCGGGCAGCTGAGCCAGGAGAAACCTGCGCCAGCCCATTGACCACAGGCATGGGCTGTCCATTCAGCAGACTGAGCAGGCCGGGCTGCAGAGATTGGAGAGGCCCAGCAAGGAGGGAGCGTGGCAGTGGGCCCTCCTCCCCAGGGCCTGGATTTGTGAGGTCCCTGATTACCCTCAAGAACCATGCTAGTTTGAGGTACACTTGGAACAGGAGCACACCCCAATGCTGGGGTCTCTCCCGGGGCACACCTGGCCCCGCCCAGCCTCAGACGAGGGTTTAGAAAAACAGGGAGCCACAAAGCTCCCACTCCACTGAGAGTCAGGCTTACTGGCCAGCCCAAACTCAGTCCAGTCTGACCCACCAGCGGAGCTCAAGCCCTGCCTCCAATCCCCTAAGGATTCAAACAAACTCATAGCGACCCTCTAGGAGAGGGCAGCGCTGCCTCTGTGAGTTTCCGACACTGTAACTCCGGACAGGAATAAAATCACAAGGACTTCCCGTGGAGCAGCTGGGGGGTTAGTCGCCCCACTCGGAACCATTCCACTCCCAGGGCTCCACCCCCTTAATTTGAACTCACCAAAATTTGAACTCTGGCAGCCTCCGGATGAAGGGCCGGAACTCCTCATTCTGCTTGGTCGGCAAGGAAGGGCCATCATCTGAAAGGCAGCCGGTCTGAGCTGACGCCCCCGCTCTCGTCCCCCGGCCTGCCATCTTTCCAGACGGGCCAGTGTGCGGGAAGGTAGCCTCCAACCCAGAAGGTAGGCTGGGCTCGCCAGTCAACTGACCAGTCAGTTCACTGATTTAGAAGTGCCACATTAAAGTCTCGTGTAAGAGAACCAGACACTTTAAATGACTGCCTAAGCAAGCTCATGGCCCACGCCAGCTGTCCTGTGAAGGGGCACAGAAGAGAGGGAGGAGTGGACCTTTCTGGAAGGTGCACAGCAGGGGGCCACAGGCTCTCCTCTCACCTGGGGCAGGTGCACTTTGCCCACTGGCTGAGGAAACCCCAGCAGATAAAAGGGGTCTCAGCTAGTTTCTATCTTCTCCCAATGGCCGCATTCAGTGAGCGTGCTTCACTGCGTGTCCTTGACGACTCTCATTAGATAACCTGGGGACAAACCTCACAAGAAAACGCCACTTACGTGCACATCCTTTCTCCCTCCATGGGGGGACTTCCACCAGGTGGCTGGTGGGCCTTACGTCAGGTGGGTCCACACCCAGGGGGAGCACTAACAATGGGATAGGTCAGTCCAGCCATGCTGACAGGCCGACAGGGAGGCACGCCCAGGGCAGAGGGAAGCCCAGGACCCTAGGAGAGAAGCGCGGGGAGTGGCTGAGCCCCGTGCTCAGAACTCCTGGACTCAGCCTGAGATGCTGAGCTGGCACTGGCGATGACGAGACAGCAGCAGCACAGGCCAGAAGTCCTGGTGGGCAGCCAGCCCACGGCGCCAGAAAGGTGAGGGGCTTGCTGGCCGAGTGGTGCCCCTCCAGGCACTGGGCAGGGCTAGGGTTGCCAGGCTCAGGAAGTGGGCCAAGTGGGGTCTCTGGGCCCTTGCTGGCAGAGCTGAAGAGCTGTGCTAACACTTGCTGGAGGTGGGCAGAGGCCAAGGGAGAGGCCTGCCTGTGGGCACAGTTGTGACAGTGCTGCCCCAATGGCAAAACTGTCCTCTGGTCCTGAGCCATTATTTCCCTAGTGCACTTCCGACAGTGAGCCAGTGGCTAGTGCTGAATCGCTGAACCTAGGAGAGTGGCAGGATGCAGGGCCGGGGTCAGAATCTGCGGAAAGGCCCAGAGTGAAGGCAGGCCTGACCTCTACAATCAGCCGTGGGCTGCTGACAGGGAGTCTCCTTCCCCCTGGGAGTTAGAGGAGGTCAGTCAGAGACCAGCCTGTGTGACTTCTACACTCCATGCCAAGAGGCTTTCCTGGCGGGGCAGCAGACAAACTGTACCAAGGACTACTCCCTCGACCTTGCTGGGGCACCACCCCCACTGGCCAGGTACCAAGAGCAAAGGAGCCTCAGGGGCAGGGGCAGGGCAGTCAGCTCAGCACCTCAGAGCCAGCGAGTTGCTGAGAACCCTGGGCAGGTGAGACAGAGGCCTTATGGGTGGGGTCAAGCCCCCTCACTGACATGCTGCCACCCAGGCTCTGGGGTCCAACTCTTCCTCTGACACGTGAGCCAGGGCAAGTTACTTACTGCCGTGAGCCTCATGTATGTATGGTGCTCAGAGCCTGGCCTGGCATACTGCTAAAAATCAGGTTACCCTACAACCCCATTTCTCCTCACCACCACTCACTGTAAGCCCAACTCAAATACTGCTGGGGGGGGGGGGCGAGGAGAATGGAGCCTATGGTGCACGGATCACCCATCACCACCACCACCCACAGCCTCCACTTTACCTGAATCTTCCATTAGGGAGGGGTCCACTTTTGGAGACAGAAAAGCTATGAAAAGGTTTAGGTGGTAGATTCCCAAGGCATAGGTTACGATGTACCAGCCCTGAAAGAGAAGGGTGCGAAGGGTGAGCAGATCAGCAGGACACCCTCCCCTGCACCCGACATGCTCCCACTCAAACAAGGACCGTCTGCTTTGCTCTCACGGACTTTTGAAGAGTGGGCGACAACCCGAGACAACTCAGGTGACTGAGGATAATGGGCTTCCACGACGGCAGGCTATTCCCAGGGTTTTGGATCAGGACAGGAAGATGGGAAGCCACCAGACTGAGCAGAGGGGGGCCCAGAAAAGGAGTTTCTTCAAAACAGCACTGGGTTTCAGTGTGGGACAGCCCAGGGCGCCCAAGGGGTTCTGATGTGCACGGGGGCTTGAAGCCCACCTCAGGCACACACCCCCACTTGGAACACAGCACAATAGTGTTAAGCGTCTGAAGCATTACCAGATACCCGGTGCTGAGACTGGCACTCTCTCCAACGCACTACCGCATGACCAAAGACGCCCGGCCAGGGTCACACCCTCAGCACAGAAGAAATGCAGACCAGGTGAATCAGGAAGCCATCCACAGTGAGGGCTCTAACAGGCTGAAGGCACAGCTTCCCCAGACATCTGGGGCGGCCACCCTGACAGCAGGCCTCCAAACACAGCCCACGCTCGGCCAGTGGCTTCGTTTGAAGCAGTGGTTCTCAATGCCGCGACCCTTTCATACAGTTCGTGTTGTGGTGACCCCCCAAACCATAAAAGTATTTTCATTGCTACTTCATCACTGTCATCTTGCTACTGTTATCAATCGGATGACCCCTATGAAAGGGTCGTTCGACACCCAAAGGGGTGGCGACCCACAAGTTGAGAACCACTGGTTTAAAGAGCTCCAAGTTGACCCAGCAGAAACCAGGGCTGCATGATGCGCTCTGAAACCTCAGCTTTGTCCCACTGCCACTTTTAGCCTTCACCAGTCTAAGTCCAACGGTCGAAGACAAGGTGCAGACAAGGAAATCATTTCCTGTTGGTGTATCTTCATGGTGCAGGGCCAAAAGAGCACTAGTTCGGTTCAGAGCAGAGTTGGTGATCCTGTGCCTAACCCCACCAAGTCAGGGTTTCTAGGCCATTCTGTGAGAGAATAGAGGAGTCCCCACTTAAACACTCAGTGCTCCTGGTACCTGCAGACTGGCATTCCATCGGCAAACCAGAGAGCGCCCCATAGTCACACTATATCCCAGGAGGCCACTGGACCATGACTCTGAGAAAAAGAACTTCCCACAGCGCAGTACTCAACAGCGCCACCTGTTGGGCTGCATGTGGTCCCCCAGCCCTGGGGAGGAAGAAGGGGTCTCCTTGAAAGGAGAGCACATCCCAACTCAAAAGAACCCAAGCACCTCCCGGGACATCATAAAAAAAGACATCATGACCTCCAAGACCCGCGGGAATGCCTGCCTTCAAGGTGTGTTCCGAGAAACCAGCTGGCCCGTGAGTATTCCCAGCCAGGAAACCTTCACAGACAGACACACAGGAGAGCCTGAGGTGGTATCCTATCCCAAGAGGTGCAACTGAGAAAGTGCCCCACGTCCGCCCCGGAGATGCAGCGCCTCACCAGCTCACCCCAGTCCCACTCTTTGCCACACATACCTGCAACAGGTAAACTCTGATCATGTAGACGAAGCTCAGGCCCAGCGTCACGACCCATCGCACCGCTGTATAAGGGGTAGACTTGTCCAGCCAGGACTGGTAGATCTGGTGACACAAGTTCACATAGTTACACACTGTAGCTCTGCACTTTGTCACACTATGTACTGCTACAGGCCATGCTGCCAGTGGAAACCCTCTCTTCTCACCCCTTTGCTTTCTACTTTAAGAAGAACGAACCCAAACAGCAAGACATCACATTGTCTGTACACACACACACAGTTCATTCATTCATTCATTCATCCATCCGTCCATTTACCCACCCTTCCATCCTCTAGCACAAGACAGTTAACACAATTCATCAGAATGGATTCACAGTAATCCCTGGGACCAGCTCATCTCTGACCCACCAGTGAAGGTGAGAAAGCAGTCCATCACAGGAGGTGGCCACAGCATTAGCCTCAAGGGCAGACTAGGGGGAAAAGCACAGGGCGCCTTACAGGGACCTTGAAAGCCCTTCACCCCTCGGCCTGGTATACAGCCTCTACTGACAGCCCTTGCAGCCCAGACCTCGGCGCCAGAGGCAGGCGTGCGGGCCGCTGGAGCAGCTGTGCATGTGCTGAGGGAGCTCGGCCGGGAGGTGTGGGTGCGATCACGGACATGGACATCCGCTCACCACTCCGCCTCAACAGCTGTCGGCAGTTTCCTACATGCTACCTGAATGAAGAATCCGTGTTTCCAGCTTTGCACCCCAGCAGCACCAGACTCTCCCTGGGGCTGAAAGCCAGACCAGCCGTGGGGCAGGGTCTCTTAGGGGTGCCCTTTTGGAGGCAGGCTCCATGTCCAAACTTGACAGACGACAAATGCCGCCTCTAAGACTTCCAGAGGGGGCGTTTGTGGAAAATGGGGTGGAGAACCAGCTTGCACATAGGGCCAGGCCTCCTGGAACACCCCAATCCCCGGCCAGGGGATACCCGTGTGATCGACAAAGGAGCAGGTGACTAGGAAGAGGTGGGACGGTAGCACCTGGGTCTGCCAGGCTTGCGACTAGTCCCACCTTCATGTTCTCCAAGGCCGTGAATAACAAAACCCAAAGACCATGTGCGTGACACAAGTCACAGCGGCCCCCAAAGCCTGCAATGCTCTACCAACTGGGTCCTACAGCCGACCAGTCCAAGCATGCACCCGCAAATCCTCCCCTGGTGGCAGGAAAGGTCTCTCCTGAGGGCACATGCCCCTCAGCCGGCAGAGGGGCGAGGCTGTCACCAGTGCAGTTCCTTCTCTAAAGAGATGAGGTCACCTGAGGCCCAGTCAGCACACCCACCTGTCCAAGTCTTGTGAAAAACCTGTACACCACAGAAGGCTTCCCATGGACGGAATCGCCAACACTGTCCCCTTCGGACATTCTGTAACTGTGGAAACACAACACATAGCTCAGTGAAGGCGCACGCTGGGGCACGGCGGCGCACAAGAGAAGCAGGGCCAGGCCGGCATCCCAGTCCCTCAATGACACCTGGGCTCCCACCCTATGGTCAGAGCTGGGCCTGCCAAGGTTGGGATGACGGCCTCCTGAGGGTGGAGTCCCATGGATACTTGGCTGTCCACACCTTAGCTGGTCAGTTCTCACAAGCCCTCATGGAATCATGGCCCATTCAGACTTCACACACACAGCCCTGCGTTTCGTACCCCAGTGCCCCTGCTGTGGTTCCCAAGCCCCCTCCTCATGGCCCTGGGCTGGGCTGTTGGAAAGGCTGGGGCCGGCAGGCACATCCCACTCAGCCCATGGGTGCAGCATGCCCCCCCTCCGTCTCAGTACCACCACCACCCCCAATAATCCAAGCTGAGAACTACAAATCAGCATACGTGTCAATTGCAGCCCCCCACGTTGGGACACCTGTGGCACCAGAGAAGCCACCACACAGGTGCTGCACGGGCTTCCAACTCTGCCTCTACTTGGCACGACACCCATCCACACCCAGCTGCCCTCACACTAAGTCCAAACTCCCAGACGTGGCAATGGGCTGCCACCCTGACCCAGCTCCCAGCCCCCCAGCCATGTCTGTCCCACAGGGCGCTGTGGGCATCACTTCTCCCCCTGGTGCAGTGGAAGGGCTCACACCCTCCGGGGTCGGCCAGTTCCTGGGGGGCCTGCCCCCAGTGCATGTCCTGGTTTGCATGCTTGCCCTGCTCCCTGCCATCTGGCAGCCCCCTGGAGCTGGCGAGTCCCTCATCACAGATAGGCTCAGACCCAACACCCGCCAAACTCTAAACCATTTTCTAAACTGGTTATTTCTTTAAGAAGGCGTGGGTTAATTAAAAATAACCAGTGGCTACTGAGCTGACCCTGACTTGTGGCAACAGCTCCCCTGCAGGTGTTGAACAGAACTGCAGCCCACAGGCTCTCAGTGGAGAGTCTACTAGTAATCGCCAGGCCTTTCTTCCAAGGTGCTTCTGGTGGACTTTAACCTGAAACCATTCCTGCCCACATTAACTATGTGCTCCACCCAGGCTCTCCAAGTAAACCCGGTGGTCTGTGCCACAGGTTGACAGCCCTGCCCACTCACAGAACTGCACAGACTCGGTTGTCAGGTGATCTGTGGCCCAGTTCTGATCAGTTTCTGTTTCTATTTCAACAGGTGCCTTTGATTCTGAAAGGAATGAACCCGAGCAAACCCAGGTGCCAGGGTCAGCTCCCAGTCTCACACTTCATTTCCAAATAACCAAGAGAGGTGGGGACAGCAAAGTCTGCTTCAGAGAGGAACGGGTTTTCATGGCCTGAGCACCTGCCCTGCCCGGGCTGGCCATGGGCTCCCTTTGTTGGGCACGTGTGGGTCCCGCCCGAGCAGGCTGGGGAGCTGGGGAAAGGCATCTTGTCACTCCTACTTTAAGGATGAGGCACCAATGTGCGAAGAAGCCCCCAGTGTGTCAGCAGTCTCCCCCCCGAGAATAGTGCCTCCCCAGGGTGCTGGCTGTGAACGCAGGCCAGTGAGTGGGGAGGCTCCAGTTTCCAGTGTGGTATTAAGTTCCCTTGTGCTGCCTGGTGGAGGAGCCCTGGTGGCACAGTGAGTGAGGCATTGGGCGGCTAACTGCAAGGTCATCGGTTCAAATTTGCCCACCACTCTGCAAGAGAAAGATGAGGCTGCCTGCTTCCACAAAGGCTGACAGCCTCGGAAACCCAAGATGCGCCCCGGGTCCAACCAAGGGCACTGGCTTTGATTCAGTGCTCTGACGGCCGAGACCTCCAGCTGACCCTCCGGCCTCAGTTCCTTCATCTGTAGAGTGATGCAAGTTATTACATACTGACCACTCAACCACACATGTCCAGCCTTGAGGCTGATCTTAGGCGCCCCATTCACAGCTAAGGACACGGAGGCTCACAAGGGTCAAGACCCTGGCCCAGTCCACCTGTTCGGTGGGGCTGGCGCACCTTCCTGCCCCGAGTCAGCTCTGTGATACCAGTCAGAGTCACCTGGATAGGCTTTCTCCTGCTAGGTTAGCACAGAGCCTCTGAGCAAACACCTCTGCACACCATCCCATGACAGCCTGACATTCCACTTCCTGGACACATCAGAGCAGACAGAGCAAAGTGCCAGGAACCCTAGCAGAGGGAAATTTTTTTTAATCGCCCTTTGCTCTCCTGAGGGCTGTGACTTCACTCAACAGCTGAGCTACCTACGGTGCCCCGCTGTGCAGGGCACTTTTCCCCCCACTGGGGAGGGGTCCTGTACAGAAGAGGCTACTTATAACCGGCAAGCGACTCCAGCCAAAGGCAGCCAGTAGAAGCACTCCAGCAATCTGTCAGCCTCCACCTCCTTTCAAGCGCTCTGGAGTTTTACTTCCTTCTAACGCCAAGCATGCTTGCTAACCAAAGTGTTGACATTAAACATTTTGTGAACTGATGCAAAACTCAAGACAAAAATACCGGGCCAGCCCATCAGAGCGTGCCCTTGATGCACCACTGCCTCCATATCTGTGCCGGAGGGCCATGAGGAAAGCCCACCACACTCACACACTCCCACACTGGCCTGGAGTGTGGCTCTCCGGCTGGAGGAACTCACCTCTTGGGGCACAGACTCCGAACGTGGGAGCTTTGGGATTAGAGAAGCCATCTCTGCCACTTTCTAGCGGCATGACCTAGACAAGCCACTTAACCACCACCTCATGTTCCACCCTGTACGCAGGGCACCAGCGCCTTCACTGTCGTCCTGAGGGGTCCGCAGAGGACTGGCTGGGCTAGGCCAAGCTAAGCATTCAACACCCAGGCCGGCACGGGAAGCTGCAACAGCGGGCGGGCCAGCCTCCCAGTTGCTCTCAAACACGTCCAACTTGTTCCAGACCAGGGATCAGGGCTGACCCTCGCAGCTGTTCTGCCTGAGAGCCTCTCCTCTCTGCCCAGTCCAAAGGCACCCCGCACCCCTTTAAGAAGGGCCAACAGACCCACCACCCTGTCTCTGATGTCACACTCCCTTGGTTTAATTTAGTTCAACAATGCTGGCATCTTTCCTAGTTCAGCTCGCTAGTTCCTCCTACTAGAATTGAAGGAGCCCTCGCACATGCCTTTGTGGTAACTCGATGGCTGCGTTCCACAAGGCAGCAGTTCAAAACCACCAGTTACTCTGCATAGAGGAAATGAGGTTTTCTAATCCGGTCAAGAGTTACAATCTCAGAAACCCACAGGGTCAGTTCTTCCCCATCCTATAGGGTGCCATGAGTCAAAATCGACTCAATGGCTGTCTAGTTGCTAGTTTTCTTGGAATTAGAAAGCAGGTTCCTGAAGTGGGGATCTGTGTGGTTCACAGGTGGGTCCTTCTGCCCAGAAGTGCCTGCTAGATAGCAAACAGGCAGGACATTAGCTGTTTAATCGCCTCATCTTCAGGAATAAAAGTACACCCATGCCTTAGATTCTAGCAATAATGTGCTTTCCATCTTCCCGGGATCCACTGCTTCCTTCACCCTTTCTCAACCAGGGGTAACCAAGCTGTGTGCATCACCTCAGAGGATGAAGCCCAAAGCCTTCTACGTGGTATTGGAGGGGCCCCCTCGCAAGTCATGCACCTTCCTAAGTCGGGGTGCTGCCCTGACCTGGAACACCTTCCAGATCTTATCTAAGCCTTCCCCACATTCCAGCCCCTCCCTCCTCCAGGAGGTGAGGTGAGCTGAACTGCAGCCACTTCCCACACAGGATGGGGGCTGTTACAGGGCTGTGCCTGGCGCCTCCACAGGCTCCACGCGATTGTTTCCACTACTCATTCGTGCGAGGTAGCCGGTTGGACACAACACTAGGGAGCAAACTTAAGGATAAATCACTTCAGGAAAACTCCCGAGACGAATACCCCCTCTCCGACGTGAGGTTCCCGGAATGGGGCTCACTGAGGGGTCGCACAAAGTTGAAGGCAGCCCGCCCGGGCCCCCACTCACAGCAGGCGTGTGTTCACTGTACCTCTGTATCTGCGTGGCCACAGATGGGTAAAAAGTCGGGAGAATTTATTCTTTTATTACCTTAATCTGGAATGCGATCTTAATATAATACGGAACCACTGAACTAATAATTCCCCATCGGCCCGTTCGGCATTTTCATCATGACGCTTTAATACTGGAACCCTACATTCCAACTCTGATCAACAACAAGGTTACCGGGGCGGGGAGAAGAGATACCCTAACAAATCCATCGCCATTCTCCCAGCATTTGGGGGTGGGCAACCGACTACTTTCCGGGGATGCCCCTGCCAGCGAGGAGGAGGAAGGAGAAGGTGCCAGAGTGGGCGGGCGGGTGACCCCTTCCCGGACCGCCCCCGGCCACCAGCAGCGCGGGCCGGGAGGGGGCGTGGCCACCGCGGCGCCCCCCGGTCCCCGACAGCGCGGGGCGACGGGGTTCTCAAACCTCCCGGGCCCTGGGCCTCCCCGCAGGCAGCCGGTCGCGGCCTTGACAGCCCGGAAGGAGGCGGCGCCGGCCCGGCCGGTCACACGCCGCCACGCAGCCCGCCGAGGCAGGCCGGCCCGTCCCGCCCCGCTCCCGCCTGGCACCTCGCAGCGCAGCCGCGGCCGAGCCACGGTTTCCGTCAGGGCCACGGGAAGGAGGACGGGGCAGGCGGCGCGCCGCGCTTCGCTCAGCTTTGGACGCTGCAAGCCAGCACTTCCGCTCCGTCCGCCGCGGCGCCGCCTCCGGGCCTGCAAGATGGCCGCGGGGCGGGGCCTAGAGCTCCAACCATTTCCGCTTCCGGTGCGCACTGCAAGCCCGTTGGGGGGGCGGCCGCTTAGAGGAAGACGCCAGACGCCGGAAATGCTCCGCGTCGCACAGGCGCAGTTGCTCTCGCCGGTTCCCGGTCGGGCATACTCCATGCCAGAGATTGTTACTTGCCAAAGACAGGCCCTTGCGGCCACGCCCCTTCGCGACCAGTGAGCCAATGGGAGAGGGCTTCGCTGGTTGTTAAGGCAAACGTCTAGTGGCAAGATGGCAGACGGCGGCCCTGGGGCCCCAATTCCGGTCTCGCCGCGCCGGAACAAGCTGGGGCGTCCGCCGCGGGACGGTAACGACCGCAGGGCCTATGGGCGATGGGAGGTCGAACTACCCTGCACCCCTACCAGGCCTCCACCCGGGAACTCGAAAGAAGAGGATCTCCAGCGATCGATGCACACCACCACCCCAAAATTTTCATTTGGGGAAGTCCAAGTCCTAGAGGCGACGGCTCCTAGGACTCCGGGCATCCAAACCCCCGGCGCGGATTCATCCTAACGGCCGTCTGTCTCATCCGAGCCTCTACTCGCACCCACCTAGGCCTCCCCCTCCCTGAAGGAGCCCTGGCCGCCGCCGCACCCCCATCCCGCCCCCCGCGCGCCCTACCCCAGTCCTTCCGTCTCCACCGGCCCTTTGCCTGGAAGGGACTCAACTCACGCGGCCCTAGGGACTGCCTCTACGTATCCTTTTCCCCAGGCTGGGGTGGGCAAGCGCTCCAGGCACACAAAGTATGGAACCAGCTGGGCCCTCGGAGATGAGGGTTTCCACGCCCGATGGTTGCGAGGAAGCAGTCCAGAATTAGGATGAGCTAGGACGGGCACCAACCTGACGCTGGGTCGAAATGCCTTTGAAAGCGCGTCAATAGGAACCGCTCATCAAGTCAAAGCAGCAGAGCTGGCATGCTTATGCCCATTCAGCTAGACCCTGACCTCTACCTGTGGCTGTTTCAGGAGCCTGTGGTGACCCCTTGCCCTCACCCAGACCCCAGGTTGTGCCTTGAAAACAGGGCTGCAGGCAGGGTAGAGCTGATGGTCGAGCAATGGACTTGTGCAGTGGCACAAGTCGTTCGCACGGGCAGCAAAAGAAGAGGGTTGGGGTGAATAGAACCGCCACAGGCTGGAGGAGGGTTGGCACCAAGGAGCACACCTGGCCCTCCACGGCTTCCGGCCCCACCTGGCACACAGCTGTTCTCAACCTGTGGGTCGCGACCCTTTTGGGAGTTGAACGACCCTTTCACAGAGGTTGCCCGACTCCTAACAGAAGCAAAATTACAGTTGCGGTCCCTTTGAGGACCAAACGACCCTTTCACAGAGGTCGCCCGATTCATAACAGTAGCAAATTACAGTTGTGAAGTAGCAACGAACATAATTTTATGGTTGGGGGTCACCACAACATGAGCAACTGTATTAGGGTCGCAGCATTAGGAAGGTTGAGAACCACTGGGTTAGAGCAAGAACGGTCCAACAGGGCCTCAAAGGGCAAGACCTGTAATTGAGTGTGTGTATGTGTATAAGTGATATTCAGTTACACATTTAAGAGAACACCCTTTATCAGAAGCAGAATAAACCTCCAATAACTCATGGTCAGGAGAAACACTTAGCTTCCATCTAGGAAGCTCGAGATCGCTCACTCAGCAGATACTTTCTGCACACATGCGCCTTTCAGGCCACAGGGAAGTTTTTAAGAGGCTTGCAGACTGGGAATTCAGGATGGGGAGACCAGGGAAGCAGCTTGACAAGCCACCCCTGATACCACCCCCTGCCAGAGTGTGGTCTGAAACCCAGGCCTGGCCATTCCCCTGATGGAACCCTTCAGTGGCCGCCTGTCACTGTTAAAATCTTCACTTGTACCCAACGAGGCCCTGCCCGAGTTTCTTACCACTGGCTCCTGGGGCACTGCCTCTCTCTTTCTTTCTCATGGATGCTGCTTCTACTCCCAGGACTCCCTCCTCCACCTTCACCTGGCTAACCTTCCTCCTCCCTGGCTCATGGCTGCCTCATCTGCACTTCAGGTGTTAGTGAGTGTTTTTCCAATCCTGAGATTGCATTCTTGCAGGACAGAGTCTCAGAGTCTTGGCTGAACACGCAGTTGGATAAGTGTGGTAAAATGGTATGAAAGGGCATAGCCTTGATTCATACTTTGTCTGATCTGAAGGCATGCAGTGTAGCCCCTTGTTCTGCTCAGACAGCTGCCTCGTGGTCTACGTACAGGCTCTGTGTGAGCAGAGTGAGTGCTCTGGGATGCCCGTTCCTCACAACACTGCTCATCATTGGCTGTGATGCCAACTGTCAAATGTCTGCACAGTCAATAAAACACACTGCCCTTTGAAATCTCCCATTCTACTCTTTGACTTCATTATTTCTTCTGGTTCCTTTGGCTTCGTTATGTTTTAAAAGCAAGGTTCAAAGACTTTCCTGACGTTTATTTTGGACTTTTCTATCTTTCCTGTCCTTTTAATAACCTGCTTTCTTTGTGAATGATGTTTTTAATGTTAACCCACAACTCATCTGGTCTTAAGTCATTAGTGTTCAGTGGTTCAAATCTGTTCTTGAAATGGTCTCCGAACTCAGATGGCCTATACTGAGGATTGTCCTTTGGTTTCCATGGACTTGTTTTAATTCTCTTCAACTTGAACTTGCATGTGAGCAATGAAAACTCAGCTCTGCAGTGGACTGGCACTAGTCCAGACACATCTCTTCCCACCGATGGGGTTGATTTGATTCCTGTATATTTTCCATTTGAGCAGGTCCACATAGACAGCATTTGTGGTTGAAAGAAGGTACTTGAATAAGCCATTGGTCTTCTAAAAATCTGCCATTCAATCCCTATAGTCTTTCAAGGTCATATTTTCCAACTACTGAATGTGAAGTTACCAATGTTCACCGTCTAGTCACCAGGAATTACCAGTGCTTCTGGCTCGCATGTGTGATCACATTCATGCTGCAGAAGTTAATAAAGATGTTCAACTCATCTTTAGCATCAGTGGTTGGCGCATACATCTGATTAATAGTCATACTAACTGGTCTTCCTTGTAAGTGTATGAAATTCAACAGCACTGTACTTCAGATTAGATCTTGAGGTGCGTGTTGCTGTGCACCTGGAAGCTTTGCCACTGGTATTTCTAATACCAGTAGTGGCATCTCTGGTGGACAAGTTTCAGCAGAGTATACAGACTAATAATCAGAGAAGCCGGATTGTGGAAGAATGCAGCATCAGGATTGGAAAAAGGCTTATTAACAACCTGCATTATGTAGATGACACAACTTTGCTGGAAGTGAGGAAGACTTGAAGCCCTTGCTCATGAACAACAAGGACTGCAGCCTCCAGTGTGGATGACAACTCAGTTTAGAAAACCACAGTCCTCACAGCCAGACCAACAGGTAGCATCGGGACAAACAGAAAGGATTGAAGTTGTCAAGGATTTTATCTTGCTTGGATAAAGCCACAATCAACGCCCATGGGAGCAGCAGTCCAGATCAAATAGCGCAATGCATCGGGTAATTCGACCTCTTTTTAAAGTGTTGAAAGCAAGGATGCCGCTTTGAGGACTAAAGTGTGCCTGACCCTAGCCATGTTAGTCCGAACTGCCTCATGTGCATGAGACAGTTGGACATGGAACAAGGGAGCCCGGAGAAAAATCAACATATTTGAACTGTGGGGTTGGTGAGGAATGTTACAAGTATCATGGACCACCAAAAGAATAACCCTATCTGTCTCAGAAGAAGTACAGCCAGAATTCTCCTTAGAGGCACGGGTGGCGGGACTTCCGCTGACGTACCTTAGACTTGTTCAGAGAGACCACTCCGGAGGAAGGACATCATGCTTGGTAAAATCGAGGGGCAGCTTTTTGAAGAAAGAGGAAGGCCCTGGGCAAGATGGGTTGGCATCTAGCTGCAGCAGGGGCTCAAACATGAACGATGGTGAGGCCGGTGCAGGACCCGGCGATATGTCGCTCTGTTGAACGTAGGTTCCCGGTGGGTCGGAAGAACCCCTGTCTGACTGCTTCGGAAGAGACGGACCAGCGAGAACCTTCTGGGTAGCACAATGGCTCTAGGAGCAGGCGCGCTCTGTCCATCTGGGGAAGGTCCCTGGCGAGCTCCCCAGGCCCCAGACTCACCCCTCTATAGGCTTGCTTTCCTGCCAGGCCTGCTTATTTTGTCTCTCAAAGGTCCTTGGCTTCAGACCCTCCACACGCTGATGCGCCATTGACATAACAAATATGCACAGGAAGGAGTCAGCACCCAACATACATTTTAAACTTCCTCTGCCATTGAGCCGATCCCATCCCATAGCGCCACTACAGGACCCGGCAGAACTTGCGCACCAGGTTTCCAAGATGGCAGTCTTCATGGGAGGATCCCTGGCCAGACAGTGGTCATGCGTCCAGCTGCGAATCCTCAAAGTCACCGGTTGGAAATCACCAGTGGCTCCCCAGGAGAAAGACGGGGCTTACCGTCTTGGACACCCACAAAGGCAGTTCTACCCTGTCCTATCAGGTCTCGGGGTTGGCATCGACCCCATAGCAGTGAGTTTGGTTTTCCAGGGTCTTCAGGGAAGCAGGCTGGCACGTCATCCACCCACAGAGCAGTTGGTGGGGGTGGGGGTTTGGAAATGCTGGCCTTACCTTTGACAGCCAAGCTCTTAACCCCTGTGCCACCAGGGCTCCTTAGCATATCTACAGGAGGTCACCCTCCATCCCTGATGGGCTCCATCCGTGTGCGGCATGACTGAGACCAGGGACGCAGGAAGGTGCAGGACATGGGACACCCCCTGGAGCCGCAGGCCTAGCCTTGGGGCAGCCAGTGCAGACAGGAAGAGTTCGTGGGCAGCCAAGGCCACAGGCACCATTAAGGGTCCCCTGGGAGCTGCCCGCTTCCCCTTGGTGCTGCCTCTAGAGGTCCCCAAAGAGACCCACTCCCGTGTGCCCCATGGTATCACCCCATCAGTCTTCCACACGCTCACGCGGTGCCTCTCCTCCCCATTCAGGTCACGGCGTCTACGTCCACACCAACTCTTTCTTTCAATACGAGGGGGACTGGAAAGGAGGGAGGCAGCATGGTAAGGAGTGCCCACCCCCCCTACCCCCACCCCCATGCTCGTCCTTCCCGGCCCTTCAGGGCTCCAGGCGGCTAGGGTGCTGCTCAGTTGGAACAAGCGGCCATGGCTGCAGGCCCACTGTCTGCGGCCTGGTCCGTGCGTTCAAGTGGAAACTGATGACAGCCGGGTCCAAACCGCCACCTAGGCTGCCCTATCCAGTGCTGCCCCAGTGCCCCACACAGGTCTGCCAGGCAGTGAGGTCCCGGGAGACCCCGGCAGCCACTGCTGGGAAACCCTCCCTGCAGCTCCAGGCCTTTGACTCCTTAGCCCTCACTTGGGTCCCGGTGGCCCAAATACATGGCTGGCACTTGACCAACTGGAAGGCCAACAGCCTGAGCCCCTCCTAGAAAGCCCCTCCTGAGCACCCTGGGAGAAAGGCCCGGGAACCCACTGTGGAGTAGACCTTACTCTGCACACAGAGGGGGCCTGAGGTAGACAGAGATCTCTGCACACACAGAGGGGGCCTGAGACAGACAGAGGAGGAGAAAGCTGGGTCCCCCAGGTAGGCCGCCAGGTTTTATGTGGGAATCTGCGGCCCTGGTAACACGGGGAGCTGACAGAGTGGGTGTGCTCGCAGCCACCTGGGTCTCTGCGGGAGTTTACCTGAGGGTGTCTCCACAGGCCACGGGAAGCTGCTCTTTAAAGACGGGAGTTACTACGAAGGCGACTTTGTGGACGGAGAGATCACCGGGGAAGGACGCCGCCACTGGGTCTCCTCAGGTAGCGTAGGGCCTGCGTGGGCAGTGCAGGGGGCACATGGTGGTGGCT